CTTCATAGAAAATGTCAGGTCTGGTATTACACAAATACCTAGAGAACTAACCAATTGTTTGAAGGTTGTAGCATCCACATCCTCTCCATCATAATCAGAGTCCAACTTCTTATTCGTATAAGTAGGCATGATAGCATCTTTGCAATTCTCCAGCTTAAATCTCTTCAGAAGCTCAAGTTCATAATTCATATGATGCAAAATGATTCCTTTCTCAGAGTACATAAACTACATCCCTAGAAAGTAACCCATTTTCCCAAGATCTGTCATCTCAAACTCATTCATCAGAACCTTCTTGAACTTAGCTATCTCTTGTTCAGAACTTCCTGTTAGAAATATGTCATCAACATAAAAACATACTAGAATCATATTACCTTCTGAAGTGTGCTGAACATAAACACCATACTACATCTCACACTTCTGAAACCCTTGTTCCTTGAAAAATGAATCAATCTTCAGATTGTAGGCTCTGGGCGCTTACTTCAATCCAGGAGGTTGTGACACATATACCAGGAGGTTGTGACACCATCCCTTCTTGATTATTTTTCTCAAATCCAGGATGTTGTGACACGTATACCTCTTCTTGTAATGGACCATTCAGAAATGAAGATTTTACATCTAAATGAATCAGAGGGCAATTCCTATTAGCAGCTATTGCAATCACTAGTTTGATTGTTTCATGTCTTGCTACAGGTGCAAACACTTCAGAGTAATACATCCCAGGCTTATGTAGAAAATCTCTTGCTACTAATCTTGCTTTGTGTTTGCCAATTGATCCATCTGGTATTAGCTTCTACTTAAAAACCTATCTGACGCTGATGGCTTTCTTTCCTTTTGGAAATTTTGTCAGATTCCAACTCTTGTTTCTCTCTATAGCATCAAGTTCTTCTTTCATGGACTTCAACCAGACTTTCTGCTTAAGAGCATATTTTGTACTCACGAGTTCAAAGTCTACTAACATTGCACACTGAATAACTTCTCCTTCGGAGTCTACTTCAGTATCTTGCAACATGTCAAACTCTGTAAATCTTCTTGGGATGCTTCTAACTCTTTGTTGCCTCTGAACTTGAACTTCAAAACCTCAGACACCACAACTTTCCCCTTCAGAAGCTCTTGCTTCAGAAAATGGACTTTCTCCATAACCTTATCTGTCTTCAGAGTCTGGAAAATTCCCAGAGTCTGAATCACTATCGGAGTCAGAGTCAGAATCATCTTCACCTTCTGAATCTTCTTCAGAGTCAAAGTCACCATCGAACTCGTCTTCAGAGTTAAAACTTTTACCAGCTTCAGAAACACGTGTTTCTGACTTTTCTTCAGGAGTTCTCTCATCAGAGTCAAAATGAGACTTTTCCCAATTCCAGACTTCTGATTCTTTTACAATGACATCTCTGTTGAACTCAACTTTGTTAGTTTCTGGACAATAGAGTTTGTACGAACCTGTACTGTGGCACCACACGCGTAACATTACTTTACTTCTATCATCCAGATTTTGTCTTCTGGCTTCTGGGACATGTTTGTAACATACAGAACTAAACACCTTCAGATGACTAACACTTTGCTTATCTCCAGTCCACTTCTGAATAGGAACTATTTCCTTCAGCTTCTTCGTTGGACATCTGTTGAGCACATAACATGTAGTACAAACAACTTCTTCCCATAAAGTATGAGGAAGCTTCTTCTCTTTCAGCATGCTTCTCACCATATCAAGCAAAGTACAGTTTCTTCTTTCAGCAAGACCATTGCGTTGAGGAGTATATGGTGAAGTAACCCTCATGCTCAATTCCATTCTCCTCACAAAACCTTATGAATTCTATGGAGTTATAATCACCACCACCATCAGTTCTAAGAATCTTCAGAGTCTGGCCACTCTGATTCTCAACCTTCAATCTGAACTTCTTAAATTCAGCAAACACCCCGTGTTTGAATTTTATGAAAGATACCCATGTCATTCTGGTGACCTCATCAACAAATGACACAAAGTATTTATTCCCTTCAATCGATGCTACTGGAAATGGACCACACACATCAGAATGCACTACTCTCAAGGCATACTTTGCTCTTGGAGCTAATTCTGATGCAAATGGAAATCTTGGTTGCTTCCCTTCCATGCACACCTTGCATGACTTCTCAGGCTTCTTGATTGTAGGAATTCCATGTACCAGCTTCTTCGATTTCAGATGCCCTAAGCTTCTGAAATTCATATGACCAAATATTTTGTGCCATAACTCACTCTCCTTGACAAAACTTGTTGCACTAAGACATTCAGAGTCTGTAGTTTTAACATTCACCTTGAATGCTCTATTCCTTCCCTGTTCTGACTCCATAATCAGCTTCTGATTACAGTCATACAACTTCAGAAGATTGTTCTTCATGGTAACTGAAAAACCTTTCTCAATCAGTTGTCCCACACTCATCAGATTTCTTTTCATGCCAGGTACATACCACACATTCTGGACCATTGTTGCTTTTCCATTATTTAGAATGACTCTGACATTTCCCATACCCTCTGCATTGAGGTATTTATCATCAACACATCTGATCTTTGTACTCTTCCTAGAGTCAAAATCAACCAACCATTTCTTGTTTCCAGTAAGATGGTTTGAACACCTTGTGTCTATATACCACCATTTTGATAAATTCATATCATCAGATTCAGAAGCCAACAATAGCACAGGTTCATCATCAGACTCTCCTCTGGCTATATTTGCTTCTTCTGACTTCCTTTATTTGTTTGACCAGCAATCTTTGGCATAATGACCAAAGTTATTGCAACAGTAATACTGAACATTCTTCTTGTCAGGCTTCTCCTTTCCCTTCTGGATATTCTTCTGCCTATCAGAGTTTGAAGCTTCTGACCTTTGACCACCATTAGTTTTCTTCCTGGCTTATGGCCAAGTCTGCTTCTGATACTTCTTACCAGAAGTTTTTTTCAGAGCCTGCTGCTCTACTTCTCTCTCAGAAGTTCTCTCAGCCATACGCAACTCATGCACCTCTAGACTACTTTGCAGCTCTTCAACTCTCATGGTGCTCAAATCTTTGGAATATTCAATTGCTAGTACAATGTAGTCAAATTGAGAAGTTAAAAATCTCAATACCTTTTCTATGATTACTTGTTCAGAAAGAGTTTCTCCATAAGCTTTAGTGATCAGAATCACTCTAGAGATATATTCAGAAACCTTCTCGTTGTCCTTCATCTTGAGATTCTCATATTGCTTTCTGAGAGACTGAAGCTTCACCTTCTTCACTGATGCGTCACCACCGTAACATCTGAGGAATGTGTCTCGCGCATCCTTTGCTGTTTCAGAGTCAACAATCTTCTCAAACACATTCGCATCCACACACTGAAGGATGTAGAATAATGATTTTTGATCTTTCTTCCTTATCGCCTTCTGTGTTATCTTATATGCTTCTGTCGCGTCTCCTGCTAACAGAGCATAGCCATCGATGACAAGATCTAACACATCTTGAGAACCAAACAACACACGCATCTAGATCTTCCAACGATTCCAGTTTTTGCCATCAAACACTGGAAGCTTGAAATTGATATCGATGTTTTCGTTCATCCTCAACCTTGTGCAATTCACTCAAAAACTCACTAAAACACAATGTTTCCCAAATCCACAGAATTAGAAAAATGTGATTCTCAATCACACAACACCTCATTGTTCACTCGTGTTTCCCTGTGGATTTCGAACCGGAACTCTAGATATCAATTGTTAGTGCACAAAGGAAAGATGAAAGAAAAAAAGAATATATTGAATGACGACTACAAAATAAGGAGTAACAAATAATTACCTTGACCTATTGCTAGACTATTTATACACAAAATTATTGTATAATAAAATACTAAAATACCCTCTAACAAATTTAATCAATAAGACGTTTCTAAAATATAAATTATTTTCAACAATGATGTCCCATCTATATTTATATAAATATATACTCATCAAGTAGTATAAAGTAAATATAATAATAATAATAATAATAATAATAATAATAATAATAATAATAATAATAATAATAATAATAATAATAATAATAATAATAATAATAATAATAATAATAATAATATACTCTAGAGTTTTGCAAAAAGTGTTTTTTAAACATAGTGTTAATATTTAGATATTAGTTTAATAATTTAAATTTTTGTTAATAAAATACAATTTGATAAATATATTTTTATTAATATTTAAAAAAGTTAAATTATTCTTTAAAATTTTAATAAATTTAGAACTTAATTTTAATAAATTTTTATTGTAAAAACTATTCTTAAATATATATTATTAAATTTATATTTATATAAAGGTGAGTTTGAATTTTATTTTTTTATTTTTACGATATATTAATTAATTTTACTTATTTATTACCACTAAAAATATTAATTTATGAAAAATTAAGAATGGATTCAAACTTTATAAATTATAATTTACTATACGTGTAATATCAAATTTTATTAATGATAATTGATAACAAAGTTAGAAAAATGTGAAATTCACTCAAAAACTCACTAAAACACAATGATTCCTAAATCCACGGAATTAGAAAATAAATTAAAATAAAAAAGTTAAAAAATTAAATTTTCAAATAATAAAGATATTTTTGTAAATAAATAAAATTTAATTATTAATAAAAAGAATTTATATACTATTAATAACAAACATAGATTATAATATTATTATAATTTTATTTGTAAACGATAAATAATTATAAAATATTTATTTAATTTGAGAAGAGACACGGATATACACATTAATGGTTTAGTTAAAAACATATATATCTGAATAATGGTTAAATTAAAAAGTAATTTTAGAAAGAAAAGATAGGGTTTAGCACGCACCGCCCTAATCCGCGAAGGCAAACAATTATAAATACCAACAAACCAAACAATAACAAACACAACGTCTCTCTGTTAATCAATAATCAATCTTGGTCAAACAACAACATCAACACCAACACCAACGTTGGTTCATTCTTTCTCAATCTTTCTCTTTACTCTTCTGGTTATGGATTCATTTTCATCACCATCTTCTACTACTCAGATGATTTCATTTTCATCACCATCTTCTACTACTCAGATGACACCATCTCCTAATAAGAATCAACGATATTTCGGTGACATTCACATTCCTCGGATGATGACCTTATCACCACCTTGTACTCCATCGCCAATAACAAGGCGCTTGAAAATCATGGATGAAATTATTGAACTTGGTGAGAGGCGGTTACAAGAGTTGCGTCTCATTGAAACGACCCAACAAGCCATCGAGGTCGAAAGAAAGAGGATAATAAATGTGTTGATGTCATTTAGGTAGTTCCTTTCAATCAATTATGCATTTGTGTCAGGTATGTTCTTTAATTTCCCCAAGTTATTTTGATCCTTGTGTCATCAGGTAATTAAAGGTGTTGTTGTATTTGTGTTTACCCTTTACAACCTACAATCACTACTATTGATCACTTGGAACAGACGCGTAAAGTGGTTTGTTGGTTTGTCATTGAATTGCACCATGTCTTGCATTTATATTTCCGAACTCCAACGTTTCACTTTGGCCTTTTCTACCCAATTAGTCATCTCATGCTTGTTGTTTTACTGTGCTACAGGTCTAATTAATAATATAACTCAAAATGGATTTGTGTAAGGTATGGTTTTGTTAATACATAGTATAAGCCATTTGACTTGCTTTTATATGAGCTTGCATGTTAGTATTAACTAGTGCAAGAAGCATCTTGAATGATCATGACTTGTTGACTTCGTTTTTCGTTTCACTGTTTCTTTTGGTCATATTAGACGGGGATAGCCAGCCGTTGAGGTTACGAATGAAGGCGTTGACGCTGCAGGGCATTCAATTGGTTATGATATCTATCATGTCGTTGCCCTTACTGTGATATAACAGTTAAATTGTTTGTCCTGCTCATATCTTTCATATGGTAATCTATTATGTTTCTCTTTATGTCCTATAGAATGCATACATGTTAATCTTGATGTTATGATATTGTTTCTATTTCAATTATTCCTTCATGAACGGTTGTTTGATTATGTTTGAGTTTGGCTTTAGGTTATTTCTTCCATTGTTTGATTATGTTTGAGTTTGGCTTTAGGTTATTTCTTCCATTGTTTGATTTTGAATAGGCTTTGTATTTTAGATGTTTGATTTTGAATATTGTTTTTAATTCATTTCAGGTCTCAATAATTTCCATTGCCCTTGGTGGAATTCTTGCTGGTTCAGTTACCAGCCATACTGGCGGTGTTCAAAAGGTGTAAGGTGAAAGGCAAAACTTTGTGCGTATTGGGATGTACTATTCACAGATTACCGATGAAAACTATCATCAGATGGTAGTTGGTCCTTCTTGTTAGTTAACAATTCTTTCACATCCTGTATCATGTGGTTGGTTGCAGGAAACAAATGATATGCATTTGATGATTTTGTTTTTCCTAATGATAAATGTTAGTATGTTAGTTTTCTTGGTTGATTATTAACGGATGGTGGTCCTAACAATGCCTTGCAATAGTTAAATATTAATGATGTTCCAATGGCTCAACCAGAGATCATTGCAAATTCCCCTGTCTAACATACTATTTATTAGTTAAATATTAAATGTTAGTATGTCTGTTTTTTCCATCCTACTAATTATTAAACCATTACCTTATTCTCTTTGGTTCTTTTTGCCGGAATTCTTCCATTCCTCTTGATTTTCCTCCCTCGATGTTGATTCCTGAGAATTGTTTGTCCCAAGTTTTGTTACTTTTACAGTTTTACATTTTCCTTGACAATGTAACAAATTGTAATTTTCCTTTAAGCCCTGAATTTGTTCATCTAATAATGTTGGCTGAGCAAATGTATTCCTTATCCTGCTGCATCTGCATATGGTGATCAAGTCTAGTATGTTGTTCCTGCAAAAGGACAGTATTTTCAAGCCTTTGATTGCCCTTTGCATGCTTTATAATCTTGTCTTGCTGCTGCAATTGTGTTGTACCAAATGATCCTTCTCTTGTGGGGTAGATCCTTGCTTTTCTCTCCATGTAAGTTGTATGAAGCATCTGTTTTGGTATATAATTTGTTCTTCTTGGACTTGCCCCCTTGAACTTTGAATTGTACTGTTTGGCTTGAAGTGTGTATGAATTCATGATGGTGTATATTAACCTCTTGTATGCACTGGATGAGGGACTGAACTGTATTAGATTGCATTGTCGTGATACAAACTAAATTGCGTATGAACTGAACCGGTTTATACATGACTTTGAGCTTGTGTTGGCATGACTGTTGTGCATTGAACTGATATGATTTGTGATTTTTGCTGACTTGATGAACTGTATTGAGATGCTAAATGTGGTTTACGGTAAACCGTTTACCTGACCTGGTACAAGTTTTGAGCAGATGAACTTAAATTGAGTTTACTGGTTGCATTGTACTGAACTAAAATAATTTTTACTTGAATTAAACTGGATTCTATTGTGTGGTTTTATTTTCAATAGCTTTTCTTATGAGTTTCCTGAATGCATAATGTATGCATGTGTATCATTGGCATTAGCTTGAATGGACATTAATTATGTTGTTTTTGATGATATGATTTGGACCTGACTTGGCTTTTTTTGAATTGTCGTTGATTTACATGCTTTGACATGACCCTGTAATGTAAACTGTAAACTGATGACTTTGCAATGTTGTTTATTAGGTTTTGATTACAAGCATGCTTGAAGGAACTTTGCTTGGTCATGAAGTTATCTTGAAGAGAATTGGATTTCTGAAAGTGTGCATTGAACCGCTTTTTGCATGATCTTGTCTTGGTTTAGCATTACTCGTTTGGTATGAATTGTCATGGCATGAACCTGTTAGGAATGCTTTCGCTTTGGATTTAGTATGGCAGCTTGAACTGAGGTAGTCTTACTCTTGTACTGATATTTTGCAGGTTTTAGTAAAGCATTCAAAATGGACATTTTTATGTTGCTTGTTCAAGAAGAAAATTAGCATCATGGTGAAAGTGAAGTGGATTTAAAGAGAAGATGTCTTGGTCAAGTTTGACCAGGATTGAAACAAGAGGAAAGGCCAAAAGTGGAGAAATTTTGGAAGACAAGTTTTGGGAAGAAGGTTTAGGTCTAGGAGAATAGTTTAGGAAAAGTCAAAGAAGTCAATGGTCAACAGGTCAATCCTGTTGATCAAAACTCAACTTGTTTACATTTTTGTAATCTGTGATATAGAGAGTGATGCAGGGGACCTTTACATAGAGAGTGGTGTTGTTGTTAAAATTTATATTATCACTTTTGAACACTGAGGTTCCATTTTTTACTACTGCACTTTTGTGAGTAAATAAACAAATATATTTATATGGTCTTAATTAATTAATTTTTTATTAAAAAAATAACCTTTTTAATTATGTTATATACAAGTTAAATAATAACACTTACTTAGAATATATATAATGATAGCAATAGTTTATAATATTATCTTGATGATTTGTTAATTTAAAAACTACACATATAGATAATAAATTTTTGAATTTTTCTAACATAATTTTGGCATTGCTTTCAGTTATGATTTTTTTTTTTTAAATAATGGGATTAGTGTTTTAATTTTATTATCAATTAAAACAAAATTGATTATTATCATTTAATAATTTTACCTCCTAAAACATTTAAAATATATTAATTTTAGAAAAAAAATATTTTTATTATATTTAAAATGTTTAATTTTTAGATTTCATCTTTTACATAATAAAATATTTTTTATTATATTTTTAGTATACTTGTATGGCACTCCGAAGATTAAGTAAAAAAGAGTGCAAAGAGATATAATATATATATATATATATATATATATATATATATATATATATATATATATATATATATATATATATATATATATATATATATATATATATATATATATATATATATATATATATATATATATATATATATATATATATATATATATATATATATATAATATATATATATATATATATATATATATATATATATATATATATATATATATATATATATATATATATATATATATATATATATATATATATATATATATATATAATATATATATATATATATATATATATATATATATATATATATATATATATATATAAAAGACACTCCGACGATCAAATAAGAAAGAGTGCAAAGAAATACAAGAGAGAGATTAGAGATTTTTTAAGTGGATATTGGATATCTGGCTCTCATAAGTGTGAGAGTTTATATAGTGCTCCCGGTGTTTGACCATTGGTCTCTATTTTGAGGCTAGATATCAAATCCTCAAAAATAGATAAATATCAGAAATTAGTCTTTAAGACAGACAGACATGCTTGTAACTAGTCGGTGTTCTGAGCAAGGGCGCGACTACGGGCAATCACGTCAAAGGCGTTCCTGGTTATCTGCTCTACGTGTGTCGAGGAGAATAAAGGATAGCTGCTAACGTGGGCAGACGCTACAGTATTGAAGCAGTCATGAAATTGAAAAGAAAGTACTAAGGTACTTTTATATATATATATATATATATATATATATATATATATATATATATATATATATATATATATATATATATATATATATATATATATATATATATATATAATTTTAACAATATCTTATCATCTCAATTTCAACAATCATCTCACAATTTCAATAATATCTCAATTTCAGCATAAACATAAATAATTTTAAAACCCAAATTCACATACTCTATTATAGAGTCAGAATCTCATCCTTACCTTGAATTGAAGGTTGCTCTAACTCTTCGAATGACTCCTAATTTTTCCTCTTTGACTTGAAATTTCACGTAACTCTTTCTTCTCCAAACTCTTATTTTGCTCTTCCTACTACTTCTCTTTCTTATAATTTCGAACTAACTAATATAATTACACTATTATTATTATTATTATTATTATTATTATTATTATTATTATTATTATTATTATTATTATTATTATTATTATTATTATTATTATTATTATTATTATTATTATTATTATTATTATTATTCTACTTAGTTTTATTGAGCCTACTAGTCAGCACCCCCACTTTTTACTATAACCAACACAACAACTAAGCCCACTAAATAAATAGTCTTATATAATTTTAGTATTATTAATAATATTATTTTTACAACTTAAATCAACCAATTTATCAAATAACCATATAACAACTTAAATCGATATTTCACAACATCAACCAATTTCATAAATAAATTTGAAAATATTTAATTAATAATTAATTAAATATTGGGCGTTACAACTCTCCTCCACTTAGAATATTTTCGTCCTAAAAAATTTACCTGATTCGAACAACTCAGGATAGGAGTCTCGCATCTTACTCTCCAATTCTCACGTCATGCTTTCTCCGACCGCTCCTGATTAGACTACTTTCACCAAAGCAATCTCCTTGCCTCTTAGAGTCTTCATTTCATGATCCACGATTCGTACAAGCATTGTCTCCACAGTAAGAATCATGTACTTGCACATCATCCATATGAATCACATGCGATGGATCTGAAATGTACTTCCGGAGTTGTGACACATGAAACACATCATGCAAATTTGAAAGATTAGGCGGTAAAGCTACTCTATAAGCAACATTTTCAACTCTTTTTAAAATCTGATACGGACCAATAAAACTAGAAGTGGGCTTCTTAGTCTTCAATGTTCGCCCAACACCGGTCACAGGTATAATTCTCAAAAACACATGGTCACCTGCTTGAAATTCTAAGTCTTTTCTTCGCTTGTCATGATAACTCTTTTGTATACTTTGGAAAGCTTTCATCTTTTCTCGAATTAACTTCACCTTCTCGGTAGTGTCTTGAACAATTTCAGGTCTGTTGTATCCCAAAATTTTTCCTCTCATTTATCAAGACTTTTCTCACAAGACTTCTTGGACTCAAGACAAGATTAGGGTTTGGTCAGCTCAAGACATCTCATCTTGCACTGATAACCCAAAATTAGGGTTTGAGTTTGCACAAGGATTTTTGGACCATCAATGCTTCATGTGACTTTCATACACCATTTTAGACCCCTAAGATTGCTCATGTTAAGTTTCAAGCCTTGAACCACATTTCAGATCAGTCAATTGGACAATTGACCTAAAAATCAACTGTATTGGGGAAAAAGTCAACCACGGCCAATTTACAGTCAAACTTCACAATTTTTGATCCATATCAACATTTTTAGACTCATATGTACCATTTTATCAAGTTTGGATCACAACTCCTCAAGAAATTTGATCAAATCATCAAAAGGGCAAAATGGTCAAAATTTGGGTTTTGATTGAGAAAGGGCAATTTCTGATTTTTAACCTAGCCAATGACCAATTGAGTTCAAGCATGATTTCAAGGGTTCAATGGCATCATCTTGACCTAATTACATGGTTTAAAAGATCTCAAGTTCATTGGATTGACAGATGAATTTTGCAGTCAACTGATCAAAAGTCAATTGTACACTGAAAAGTCAAACTTTGATTTTTTGGTCAAAATCAAGTACCAAGGGTCATAATTCATCAAGATATATCAAAATATGAAACTTGTTCACCAAGAAACTCAAATTTGAAAATTAGAGTTTTAATTTGAAAATTTTCATAACTTAGAATTTTTCTAAGTATAAAATTTTTCTTATTTTTTTCCAACTTTTCACCACTTTTTCACCATGATGCATTTTGATTCAAGAAAAGTTCCCAACATGAAAGTTGTAGTCCTTCATGAAATCTACAACTTTTATTCACAAACTTTTCCCAAAATATGCTTAGATATCAAGTTATGAATTTGTGAATATAGGTCCATGAACTTCTTAACTTAGTGAAATTTTGCCCTAATTTAGGCAGATTTTGAACCCAACTTCATGGACATTTTTCACCTAGTTCCAAGAGGTATCTCAAATTTCATTTCAAAGATGGATTATAAAGCACACTGTAAGATTTCCAAAATGTCCAAGAACTCTCCAAGTTCATTTTTGAGTAGGGAGAATCGAAGAAGGGAAGTTGGCATTTTCTCACTTTTGTTCAAGCCATTTTCACATAGCATCAAGTTGCAAATCAAATCTATGCTGGTTGTATCTTGCTCTACAGGTCCTAAGTTTGCTTTACACTCTATAGTTAAATGCAAACTCAGTTGACAAAGGCTTTACCTTTTCTTTTGAAGCTTTGCACAAGAGGTATTTCCATTTTGGGCAAAAAGTTCACAATGCCATTTTCATAAAGAGAAGCTTTTACAACTTTGTCAATCTTGAGCATTGAACCTGTCTGTGATACGGTGGGAGAACTGACTTGAGGTTTTGCGTTTGTTTTTGCAAATGTTTCGGTTGAGCAAGAGTCGCCACCGACTTTTTATTTTATCCTAAGGAAAGGTTAAAAAGCACAGCAAAAACCTTTGAGATGTTTTCTTGGGTTCGGGGAGTAGATTATAGAAAGGGAAGGTATTAGCACCCTTCCTATCCATGGTTATCCATGGGCTCTTAGTTACTTGCTTAGATCACTTGCCTTGCATTTTCAATTGTTTGAAATGGTGCTTTGTGTGTGGGTTTGAAAATGTTTTGAAAAGAGGCCATTTGTTGTGGCAACCTTTGTAATGATCCGTGTTTGAATGTATACAAAGGTGTATTTATCTTTTGAAAAGTTTTCAACATTTTTGAAAGTTGTTTTGAAAGTGTGTTGTGATGTGTGTTTTGAAAAATGGCAAGGATTGTTTTGCAAGATTTGGTCAAGTAACCAAGAGCTATCTACCCTAAATTTCTCAAAGATCTTTCCTATGTTTTAACCCTTTTAACAATTTTGTTCCACCATTGTATTTGATGGACAATCTTGTGTTAGGATGTTAACGGGACGGGCGCGGGTCATCGTTTAGACCATGAATGCAATAGTGCCAAGTGTCTTTGGCAATTTTTCCTTTAAGGGACTTGATCATTTTTAGGCAACTTTCGAAAGCGTCATCGAGGGACTATGATCATTTGATTTGTTTTGTTT